CGGTTTTCGCACCTGCGAAAGTGGCTTGGATCTCGCCCATACGACATCTCTTACCCTCTCCCCCGCCACTCCAATCTCCGTTGGTGATTCATCCAACATCGGCGGAGAGTTCGCCCGTCAGCCAACGGAACTTTCTCAAGAGAAACCCGCTTCGAGTGAACTGACATGTCCTATTGGTGGTCCATCCAATATCGGCGGAGATCTCGCTCATCAGTCAACGGAACCTGCTCAAGAGAAACCCACCGGCGGCGAACGCAATAGTGACACCGATGACAGCGAGTTACCATCGTATCTCGTTCTGATGATTGGCTACCTGCGTGGTGTAGCCGCGGATCGAGTGTGGCAGGATTTGGTGACAAATCTTGTCGGTTTTGAGAAGTTTGGTCATCCCGCGAATGGTGTAAGTTTCCAATATTTCTTGTCAGTTAAACAATAGCTGATCTTTCACTTTGACAACCAGAATCTGTCGACGAAATCGCGACCACAAGAGATCTCCGACTGGGTTAGAAGCAAGAAGAAGGACGTCGTTCCTTCCATCAAGCAAGATGTGTATGGTCCTCACTTTATGGAATGGTGGGGAGGACTCCAGCCTTCCTGGCGCCAGTTCCAAGGTGCAAACGGCCCACTCGACCTTGTTCGCGAAACTCCGAAGGCCGAAACGTGGGTGGCTTTGAAGAAAGGGGGCACATCAGGCATTTACGTTGTGGTGATGGGTCTTTCGTGGTGGATCAAGAGCCAGCAAAACGAACGTGATGCCAATGCATGGGCTGTCGTGGATGACCTCTCCTGGGTTATCCGGCAGATGACGGATGGTCAGGATTCTCTCGCATTGACCGTTCAGAAGCGGCACCGTGATGATGACTGTCAGGGCAATGAGGTGGAAGATCAGCCTCTGCAGAAACGGAGGTATGCTATTTTCCAGTGTTACCGTGATCGTTGCTTGTTAATGATTGCCTTTCCTAGCCGTCGTTGACTGGATATAGGTATAGTATTCAACATGCTGTGAGAGGTATGCCATTTTCCTGTATTACCTCTTTGCTTGTTAACAATTGTCTTTCCTAGTTGTCGTTGACTGGAGCATTCAACATGCTTTTTGGTAGTTCTGGTGAAATTTTGTGACCTCACACGTAGCTACCACGTCACGTGACTACATCGTTATTGTACTTAAGAGATTCTTCGTCGTGGCTCATCAATATTTGTTAACCTTGCTTTTCATAGTCAATATCCCCTTCAATATCAGTACATGATATAAACAATACATAGAGAATACATTGGTCTTATGGTGATGGTCTGGCATTTCTGCAAATTCTTTGTGCTTGGCTGATGTAATCATCATGTGAATGGAAAGGGGGTAATGAGATTGGAGGTCAAGCAGGAATGAAATTGCACTGAAATAAAGCTGGGAGGCAATGAAATTGCAATGAGATTGAAAGCCAGGCAGCAATGAAATATGGCTGGGGGGCAATGAAATATGGCTGGGGACAATGAAATTGAAAGCCAGGCAGCAATGAAATATGGCTGGGGGGTAATGAAATATAGCTGGGGACAATGAAATTGAAAGCTAGGCAGCAATGAAATATGGCTGGGGGGTAATGAAATATAGCTGGGGACAATGAAATTGAAAGCTAGGCAGCAATGAAATATGGCTGGGGGGTAATGAAATATAGCTGGGGACAATGAAATTGAAAGCCAGGCAGCAATGAAATATGGCTGGGGGGTAATGAAATATAGCTGGGGACAATGAAATTGAAAGCCAGGCAGCAATGAATTGCAATGAAATATGGCTGGGGGGTAATGAAATATAGCTGGGGACAATGAAATTGAAAGCCAGGCAGCAATGAAATATGGCTGGGGGGTAATGAAATATAGGTGGGGACAATGAAATTGAAAGCTAGGCAGCAATGAAATTGCAATGAAATATGCTGGGGGGCAATGAAATATAGCTGGGGGCAATGAAATTGAAAGCCAGGCAGCAATGAAATAAGGCTGGGGGGCAATGAAATTGAAGACCAGGTGGGAATGAAATGATGGTGGGCATGAGAAATGAAATAGTATTGAAGGACAGGATTGAAGTAAGGACTGGCAAAGAAATGAAATACATTTCATAACATTTGCCTGAGTGTCTCATTTCATAGATTCCTTAGGCAGTGTGGATGTGAGGGTGCAGGCACTTGACTGTACTTTATCATAAAGAGTGGTAGCTACTAGTGACATGTGGACTGGCCCTAAAGTCAATCAAGCTAAACAGCCCGCAAACTATCGTCAGGCTTCTTTCCTCTTTCCGTGCACCATACTTGTAGATTGTAGACTCTAACAGATAGAAACATTTGTGCATAGCTAGTAAATACGAAATCATGGCATCAAAACACAATGAGAGACCAATGAAACGTAGAAAACTTGAGGCAAGTTCTTTTCATTTTTGTGAGATTTCGTATCAAGCTAATCATGCTATAGTCGCCAGAAGTCCTTGGATTCCTAGATCTCGAAGCTGAAGTATCAGAGGCTGAGACTGACGATCAGAATGACGGCGACGAAGGTGTGTATTATAGATTGTAATTGTAGTTGGTACAGTGCTAATTCTTTCAAAGACGATCTTATCGACGATGATGAAGACATTGACGAGTCGATTTCGGCAGATGCACACCGAAACCTTCTCCGTGAAGCATTGATGCCGTCTGATGACGACGCCTTTTGGGAAAGCTTTCTCGAGCGTGTCACGTCTCATCAAGATATTGGGGAAGATGTCCAAGATATTGGAAAGGTGTCTTTATGGGCGGTGGTCGTCAAGGTAAAAGTAACCCCATCTTCGGGTTATTTTTGTAATAACTTTTATACTTAGCCTGGTTATGAGGAGCAGATAGTCTTTCGAATCCATCGGCGCCTCATGGACGAGAGGTTTTCTGCACACTTACGACCCCCAGCGGTCTTTGGTTGGAAGGCACTACCCGGCAGAGTCTTTTTCGAAGGTGGTTCTAAAGAAATGATTCGCGAAGTCTGTAACGGCATATCAAACGTGCTGGCCTCAAAGACTTTCAACATCCCGGATCCTAACCCCTCCATCTTCACTCTTCCCGACACCTTTCGACCAAAGCATCATTCCTGGGTGAGGCTGCACCGCGGCATCTACAAAGGAGATATCACCTTCATTCGGGAGGTCACATCCTTACTCATCAATGTCCTCGTGGTACCACGCGTGACCTATGACCCACCTTCCACCAAAGTCAAAGGAAGCCGGCTGATCGCACATGAGGACCGAAACGATGAGACGGACGACGAGTTCGCAGCATTCTACAAACCTGAACGCGAGCTAAACCGAAGAGCTTCAGCACCAGGGTGACCTCCCCAAGCCCTGTTCAATCCAACACTGGCCAAGCAACGGTTTCGTCGGGCATTCCAAACACGAAACAACTTATCATTATTCCGAGGAGTTCTTTACGATGGCGATGGATATGCGTACTTCCCGGACCTCGACACTGATTGGTATACCGCGAA